CTGCAAAACCGACGTCTTTCTCTTTTCAAAGGAATGCATACAGGCAAATCGATGGTGTCGCTATGGCAGCCCGCTAGGCCGAGCCCTGGCAGACTTGTCCGTGACACATCTGGAAGAAAAAAGGAACTAATATTCCTAATCGATTGCTCGACGTCGGCTGATGACGCAACATCAGGTCGACCGACGCACAGTGTTTCGAATTGTATACAAGTAACGAGTTGCAAGAATGCTAAGGTTTGGTGAAGCGACTGCGATTAATCGATAAAAGCCCCCCCCCACTGTGTCAGCAAAAAGAACTTTATGTTAGTCTCTCCCTACCCTGGTGATATTCGTCCTTTTACCGCTCCCTCTTTTATGTCTTGTCTGTTTTTAATGTATTTTGCTTTACTTTTTTGCTATGCTAAAGCCCTATATAAACATTGTATTTTCTGCAGTATGTACCATGTTGAGATGCAGAGAAATCCTCCTGGATCTAAGTAACCATTTGTCATATTTCTAAACTCATTTTTAATAGCGCGTATGCAAACGCAAAAGTGATAACAATCCTTTCATTGAAAATTCTACCTACATATGATGAATAAAGCGCACTCTTCACTTGACTTGACTTGACTTTCTGCATGGATCACCTCTATTGTCAAATTCATTCAACTACTGCCCGACAGCTAGGATTGGAATATAATCAAAACGTTCCCGTTTTGGAAAATGAGATAAGTTAACTACCTCAACAGTGGTCATCTGTGGCCAGGTTGCGGCATGTATTAGAGAAAATTGGCGAAAGCTGCATGGCAGTCAACTTGGTGGACTTCATGCAAAAAGGAATTGCTTCAACATTCATTGTAACTTGTCGAAAATGTCGAAAATTCTTCCTGTTGGGTGCATAAAGCCTAACTTGACTTGACAGTGTTCAATTTGATCTTTTATTTTTTTCATCCAAATGTAGCGAGGAAAATATTTTTGACTGTTATGTACACATATGTGTCTGTACAAGTCATTACGATTCAATAGAGCATCATAAGTGCGACTTCATTGGCCTAGAATCATAATCATGTTTCGTCGAGGTTCCCTTATTCGCAACTAACTCCACAAGGTGATCGTGTACTGCGTAAAATTTGTCGATTGGAAACAAAATATAATTTTCGAAATGACGAAAAGGGTTTTGGCAGGGGGCTATTCGTACTTTCTCCGAGACAATGAAAATCCAACAGCTTTAATATCAATAATACATTTATGTGGGTTGCCTCCCACAAACTTGTGATACATTGTCATAATTGTTTCCATTTCGCAAATGGTCACTTAAACATGTCGACTTTGTAACTAGACTGCCTTCCGTTTTGAGATTTGACTGCACAAACAGATGAGAAACGAAACGGATTGCAAAATACAATGGTTGATTGAAATATTTATATTATAGGTAACAAAACTTCTCATGCTCTTTGTAGGGGAACGCGATACCGACAGACCAGTTCACACATCCCAGTTTGCTTGTAAAACGATTCCGGTTTCCATTCGGCATCCACCGTATCGGATCCGGATGTATTGTCTACGACGATCTTCCCAGCCCCATCGATGCTGGAAGGCCAAACACGCTCCGTGATCGATTCGAAGTTTACAAACTTCTGAAGAAAATGGACGAAATGTGCATGACGAATTGGTCAGCAAGTGAGGTACCGTTGGGTTAATGGAGATAATGGTAAGTATCAACTTGCTCCTGTTGTATAACTCAGTCGACCGAGGTACATTTGTACTGCTTGTACTCTTTGATCAATAATACCAACGANNCCTTGATCGACCACGAGTAATGGGCGTTGATTTCGCCTCGTTAGGGATCAGCAAAATGCAATGAACGCGATCTAACAGAAACGTGCAATCCATAACAGCCTATCTCAAAGCCAACTTGTGTTTCACTACCTGTACTAAGCTTTAAGCTTTTTGAGCTTTACTATAGAATATTATATAATGTGAGAACATAAAACTTACTAAGTGATTCTGCGCTGTCCAGTTGAAAGTGAAGGAGAATAAAGGTGAGAATCATTTCAGCTGGTATTGGTGACAAACAACCGCGGTGTCACATTCGCTATCGGTGATTTTCAAACCGACCCCCCTAAAGACGCAAATTGAGCGTCACAAAACGGAACAAGGAATCGGTTCTGATGCAGAAAATAATGGTCACTCCAAAAATACAAACGAAAATGGAAGTCACAAGCACCGTTGTAGACGTTAACTTTATACTTTACATACACCGAAGAGGTAATCCTTTGGATACGGTGGAATCAAATCATTCGGAGTTAATGCGATTTAGTGTTTGCAAAAAATACATTGAATATCCGTTGAAATTGATTACAATGCACTATGTTTAACAATGGGAGCAACTTGAGTAAGATTGTTTTCTCAAATACCTTTAGGGCGGGCATAATACAAGTTATCGGAGAGAAGTTAATGGATTCATTCTCTGAAATAGCTCCTCATTCTCCTCATAGAATTTACCTATGTGCTCTAAGGTATCTGTTTGTTGTTAGTTCGAACCGGTGCAATGTCTGTACCATGGTAACTCATGTGAACACTTACGATCGATGCTCAGTATTTTGATGGACTTTGAGACCGATTGTACAGCGAAACGTGGCGAGAAAGTAGCCTATTTGGTGTATTGCTACTTACCCAATCTCACATGGACCACTAAGGGGAATTGACCAATAACTGGCGGCGAGTCGCAACGCAATCACCGATGAAATTACTAATAGTTATGGTTGGGTTTGACAATCTTAATCTACAAGCTTTAAATTACGTGAGAATAAATTTTTTTTGGATTACGTTCCAACAACGTGCTTGGGTTCAAGGTATAAATAACCGATACTCCGCAAAGAGAATTAACAGTGAATAGCAGTTAGTTCATAGATTATCTCCATTTATAGAGATTCACATTGTCAATAACTGTGAGTATTTCAATCCAACGCATAAGTTTAACCACAACAGCGTCAATACATCAGACTCAATTCGTAAAACTGTCTGATACGTCAGAATCTCAGGGTATATTACGGTTGTTAGAAATGCTATATTGGTTGCGAAAAATTGTTTTTACACTCGTGTTGACTGCGTTTAAAATTACAGGTCTGATAGTGCATTCCAAAGCATCAACAAAATCTGTTGCGGAAAACCAAATTTTGATCCATAGATGTGAAATCGACGAAAACATGAAGAACTACGCATTCACCGGGATGAGTTTTGTTAAACAGTGTCTATTTGATCTGCTCAGAACCGTAAAATTGACAACTGATTGAGTATAATGCAAAGACAGATGAATGATATGATCTATTCACAAATTTCCACGGTTTTTAATTCAAATCAGCTCTCATTTTTTGATAACAAGCATTCTTGAATTGTTTTCGTCTATCAAGAGTTCTATATCTATCAAAAAGACTATTTGCTCTAAATGAGTAAATTTAGCAAACCACGTGGCCAATGAAAATCCATGTGTAGTAATTTTGGACCAGTGAAAGTTAAGTTCATACAATCACTGACCACATTCTTTCGTGCTGCTGTTTTACTTACTGTTGAATCAATCCTTAGGGAGAAGTTGGATAATTCCTATTTTTGTGCGGCAGATTACAAGCTGTTAGAAATGTAAGATTATATGTATTGTATTGCATTGTATTGTATTGTGTCACTTTTGCAAGCACTGAAGCTGAAACTTCAATAAAAAATATGAAAGCCGCCCATCACAGAGAACAATTAGTGAGGGGAAAATGTAAACAGACAACACAGGGGGCATCTCATGGTCAAAGAATAAGACGAATTTTATTTGTCACCCTCTTTCGCTACACGTAAAATGGTTGGATAATAAAGCTAACAAACTATTGAGGCATTCAAGCAAACGATTCCAGTTTCTCTAACAACTTTGATCGAGGGATGGAATCGAATGCTGGAGATAGTAAAGAAAAATAAAGTAAACACAATCAGCACTGCTTTTCACATACTTAGTGAAAAAAGGAATAAGAGTGAAGGTTGCGTCGGTAGTGAGTCGCTTGGGTATGCAAGTAAACGAGCGGTGGTGGCCCGGTGGTACCGTCACCAAATGGCCATCTCGGGGGACATGTGTTCGAACCCAACCACCATTGCCCGACTTTTCTCACGACAGCACTTTGATTGGCCGCTTCCCCCTTCCTGAGAATTGTATCAATGTATACCCAATATAAGGAAGTAAAATTAAAAAGAAAAGAAGGAGGGACAATGGGGAATGTTTATGGATTACTAACGGAGTTCGAGGTAGCATTTCCAGTCAACTGAAGATGTTACAACCACGAAACGAAAACATTTGGAGAGGGCAAAAGTTTTGGATCCTTTGGGGATCGGTACTCATATGACCAGCCTTCAACAGTCTAGGGTGGTAGAACAGTAAAGTGATTCATTTATAATGTAGCTGATTGCCCCAGAGAGGCAGCCCCAAATTTGAAGAGTGCCGGAGTTAAACAATCTGGATCTGTAGCAGAGGACAAATTACAACAATTTATAAATTTTAACACTGCACAATTGGAGAATGGTTCCATTTAACAAATACTGTGTGGTGAGTAGATACGAAAAATTTCGGACGACTGGCGTACGAATGCAACATTAAGACCGTCAACAATAACATCTAGCTCCGAACGTGTACCTTCTTCCTTCCACACGGAAGTCTGATGCCTTGCCACTGGTCTTCAGTTTTCAGTCTTCAGGATTGAGAGCAGAGGGCAGGGTGCCCGTGTAAGCCCCATCAACACTGGGTCGAAGGTCCGGTCACAAGTGTTCGTTCCTCCATAGCCCCTTCAGGTGCTCATCCAGACGCTGTTTGAAAGCAGCGTCTG